CCTAGATCCTTTTGATCTTTTTATACCTACATTTCTTTTCTTTTTTTATCTAATTTGCATGTTTTTCTTTTCATTATTCTTTCTTTTCTCTCTGGTCCTTTTCTGTTACTTAAATAATGTTATACTTATCTACAATTTGTTAATATCCAATTTATATCTGATTTATATTTCATTTTGATCTGATGTACTTCAGCTTCTTATCAATGCACAAATCTCAGAATTACATTAATCTTACACTGTTTGTTTTGAATAAAGTATTTCTATATATTTTTTACTTCTCGGCTCTTTATATGCCTTCAACTGTAGTAGTGCTGTTATAGACTTAATTTCTTCCTTCTTCCTTCTCTATTACTATAAAATTTATCAACTCTTCTCTGTGAATGAAACACACAGACAGATATGTAAACTTAATAACACATTTGATTATATAAAAGTAAACTTAATACCACTTTTGATTATATAAAAGTAAACAATGCCACTTTTGATTAACAAAAATGTAAACTTTAATTCCACTTTTGATTATAAAAACATATGGCAATTTGTATCTAATTTCCTTTCCATGATACTAAATACAACAACCCAAAGCAAAGGATAAAAAGCAAAGGCTCTAGATATAGTCATTTTTATTAAAATAAGTTGCAGTCAATCTCTTAAATAAAAGTAGTAACCAACCTGTCTCACCAACAGACTTAGCTACACCTTTTTCTTCTATTATCTTTATCTCACTTACATTACTTTGATTTATGTAAAAATAAGTCTTGTGCCACACATATTATTTAACAATGTATGTGCTACGAAAATATTTTGAAATCTATCTTCGTCCTTTCAGAAAATATATCTAAGGCAACGACGATACATAGGTAGATGCAAGAAAAGACAAAAAAAAAAAATACACATTTCATATCCATGTTTTTGTTGTTTTTTCAGACTTGTTCCAGAGAAAAAAGTATCCTCATTAAACCAGTGTGAGAAAATAAGACATGCCATAACCACTTTGCATAAATACCTATTGTAACTTATTACCTTTACCAATTCATATTCATAAAGATTATATAATCATAAGTATGCTCATAAATGTATATACTTCATGAGCCTTTTCAGTTTCATTATCTCATTAAAAAAAAACTCTTGCATATACCAATAACATACCTGAAATCAAATAAATGCACCACAACATAATGATAGAATATTTCATAATACATAAAGCATGAATAATGTAAACCTAAGCAATTACAAAATAAGTTTATCAATTGTTATTGAATCAAAATACCGAGTTGAAAAATATCCCTCAATCCTGTATTGAAAGCATGATGTTACTTCTATAAACAATAAAAAAAATTGTATTTGCAACCTTAGATTCCTGATCCCTCTAAATGTGTCACCCTTTAAAAAATAAACATACATCAGTTATTCAACCTGCTGACACCGGGAATGCATGTGTAATGTAGGTTTGTTTCATTAGCTGTTTATAGGCAGAGAGCTCCAGCAATACATAGGCACCAGGAGTCAATTATTAGTCTACCTGACCTCACCACTTTACGCCATTCCTTGGATTTCTGATTCTTTTTTTCTTTTTTTCTTTTTTCCTATTACATTATCATCATCAACATTATATGACATTATCGTTTTCAACATTATATGGTTGATGATGACAATGACGATGACGATGACAATAACAATGATGATGATGATGATGACAATGATAATGTAACATAACAATAACAATAATAGCAATGACAGCAACAACAAAAATATTAATAAAATAATAATTAGATAATAATGATAATAAAAATAATAATATTAAAAATAATAATAATAATATCAAAAATAATAATCATAATACAAATAATAACAATAATAACAATAATAACATAAATAATAATGACATTAATATTAAAGTGATAATGATAATAATAAAAATAATAGTAATTATAATAATACTAACAACAGAAACAATTACAAAAATTATGATACTACTAATAATAACAAAAATAATCATAATAATGTTAATAATTCTCATATCAATTATAATAATGCCAATAATAATATTCAAAATCATAATAATAATAACACTCACTTTAATAATATCATTAATAAAACTAAATAATACTGAAGATACTCATATCAATACTAATAACAATAATAATTACTGATTACTTAATTAATGATAAATGTTATATTGATAAAAACAATGATAATTTAAAATGATAAAAAAATAATAATAATAATAACAATAACAATAACAATAACAATAAATAACAATAAACAATAACAATAATAATAATAATAATAATAATAATAATAATATAATAATAATAATAATAATAATAATAATAATAATAATAATAATAATAATAATATAATAATATAATAATAATAATAATAATAATAATAATAATAATAATAATAATAATAATAATAATAATAATAATAATAACAATAATAATAATAATAATAATAATAATTAATAATAAAATAATAATAATAATAATAATAATAA